GCAAGTAACAGCATTCATCTAATCAAAGTAACCAGTCTGAATTTGTTGGAAATTAGTTGCCACACCTGCGTTCATGGCCACAACAATTCTTCCTTTCCTCTATCAAGTCCAGCTTCCTTTGCATTTCTTTTCTCTAAAACAATGGCAGAATGCTTTTTTGTCTTCTTGCTTGAGTGTCCAACTTGACAAATGCCTGGAAAAATGGTTGAGATTTTATTCTTTGATATTTTAAGAGGAAGACTAGGGTCAATGAAATGCATTGCTGGCTTCTTGTTAAAAAACAACAAGAGAAGCAGGTATTTCTACTCCGCTGCCCATTTTTGTCATGGAACTTCATTTTCTGAATGTCTCTTTCCATAACACAAACAGATATACCTACAGCTAGTTAGCTGAGTATTGCTCAAAATCTTTGAACTGGAATCAGTATAAGCCAGCATGACTTCAATCAGATTTCCCTAAGTCAGAGATGGACATCCTGTGAATTCTGGTTTTAGTGGCTTTTCAATTCTCCTCTGAACACAGTGATTAAAAAACTAACTATCCTCTCATTTTGATACAGGAAATACAGTAACTGTGGAGTATATCTGAAAATAAAGTTAAAAACAGTCCCAAACTCTCCCCCAAAATAAAAAAGAAAATGGGAATCCATTTTGCATGGTAACCATCAATTGTGTGCTTTACTCTTCCCCAAAAATGTTGCAAACAATTCCCAGCCACTAGATGTTTGCCTAGCCCTTACTAAAGTTTCCATTCTTTATAGGCTCAGGATCTCATATTCAGTAGTCACAAATGTTTGCCAGCAGACAAATAAAAAGTCTTAGGCCACAGGCAGAGGCTGATTCTTTTAAGAACACTCCCCATTTACCAATGGGCAACTGGTTGAAGAAGGAGCAAAAGTCCAGAGTTACCTTGGCAGGATGGGCGGCATAGAAGTCTAATAATAAAAGCTTAAAGCTAGTTGAAGCAAGAATGTATGGAGCTCTCCAGGGTCCTGCAACTCCTATTGGATTCCATCTGATTGGTTTAATTCTTTTCCCCTGCTGGCCTCCATCCTAGTCAAAGCAAGACAATATCTTATTCTGTACTGCCAAGGGAGGGGGACCTTTAAGGGAACATATGGGTAAAACTTTGAGTGTATTATGTATATATTATTAGAGCAACCTTCGCTAGCATGCTGTCCTCCAGACATACTGGATTTGTAAAATTGGCCAAAGACTACTGTTACACCTATATGTTTCTCAACCAATCTGCCTTAATCACTCATCACTTGCTTGGAAAAAAATAATTTATTTTCATCACTTGGTTGTTCAGTTTATGTATTTCCAAAATACACAAGAGAATCATCCAGTCTAGGACTTCATTATAAGTTCCTCTTGTCTTGAACTTGTCTAATCACAAGCGCACTGGGGTCTGCAGGGGGAAACAACAAATTCCCTCATTCCATCAAGACCTGCTTATCTATCATGAATTTGACAACCAAATGCAAAATGTTAACATCCAGTCATGGTTAGATCCCATTTGTTTTGACAATTCCTTCCATAGAGCGTCTTGATGCAGATTTATAACACACTCCTTGAAAAGCCTCATTAATCCCTGCAGTTGCAGACTCAGCAGATGAATGCCAATGGGATTATGAACTAAAAATCCCCTTGGAAACAAAAAAGAGGAATCAGTATGTCTTAGGGGAAAAAAATAGGGGAAGATATAAGGGAACAACAGATAAACACCCACATCCTAGCAAAGAACACCATGCTCAGTAAAAACACAGTATTGTATATTTGTGGGAATTGAAAGTAAAAAATCAGAAATGCCTAAAATAGTGTGTCTTGAACAGTATTTTAATTAACCAAAAGGCAATTTGGTAATCCTGAATTTAAACAATACTGCCCTCCCCACTTTTCAGGGAGATTAGAAAAGCTAATAGTTGTGTTTACTGTAATGTATTCTCATTTATCCTAAGATGATCCTATCACAGTCACTTATTTTGGAAAACATAGTATTTCTATAGGTTCATACAGCAGCATACATATGAAGTAGCTACTTAAAATTCTGAAAAGAAATCCTTCTATAGGCCAAATCATTGCTGCATTTTCAACTTTTAATTATTGTTGTCACAGCTATTCATGCTCCAGTGACTACCAGATTAGATTAGTATGTTATTCTCTGCATAGGAGGTGGCTTTAGAACAGTGTTTTTCAAACTTGGCAAAGTTAAGAGGTGTGAACTTCAACTCCCAGAGCATGCTGGGTGGGGAATTCTGGAGTTGAAGTTCACTTCTCTTAAAGTTGTCAAGTTTGAAAAATTGCCTAACACACTCCAAAACATGATATGAACTATAACAAACCATTCCAATTATAGACCAATTTCCAATGTTGGCAATGGTTACTAGATTTGTTTCCTGAGTATATCACAATGCTTCTTTCGACTCCTAACAGTTGGCGTGGTTTAGAGCTGTGATTCATAATCTGTTTTTTCCCTATATGGGGACTCACAATTTTAATATCTACCAGCAGTGTTTTCCTCCCAAAACCAATCCCCCGGGGTTTTGAGATTACTTTCTACACCTAGCAAAGTCCTTTTGGTGCTTTCTTTCCAACACAGCGCAGTATACTTTAAAGATTAGAATTCATAAAATGGAAGGTTTTTCTAATGAAATGTATTTACTAAATTCATGGAACTAATACAGAGAGAGGGAGGGAGGGAGGGAGGGAGAGGGAGAGAGAGAGACTATATATAAAACTTGCCATTTTCACTCCACCACATATTAAGGACAATAATGGAAGTCAGATTAAATTTTAAAATCTTTAGCTTATGGAAACAGTTACAAGATAGCAAAGAAAATGTGGTTAATCAATAAGGTAATTTATTTCATTTCCTTGACAGAAAATAACTTCATTAGCACAGAAACAGAAGCTGAGTTCACAGATTGTGCCAAGCTTTAGTTAGTTTTAATTCTGATTTGTAGAACAAGTTATAGTAGCTTGGAACAGACGCCTTGGCTTTCAAATACAGTGGCTATCTTCACACATAATGCTATATCCAAATCAAAACATTGCATTATGGTTTGGTGTAATGTATGAATCAGGCAAGAGTGGAATCAGGGTGGCACTTTCCAGAGCAAGCAAATCCAGCAGGAATATTTTGGGATGCACGAATAATAAGAAATGTAACAAGCTTGGCTCAACCTAATCAAAATCTTCAGATTCAAACAAGGCTGAAAAATGCTAACAAAACTCAGAACACAATGTTTTCTCTTTTTTTTCTTTACTTTTTTTCCTTTTCCTTTTTTTTCTTTTCTTTTTTTTTTCTCTTTTAGCTGAAACAAGAAAAGGGAAACCAAAATTGGGAATAAAGACAAAATGCAAATACACAGAAATCTCACAGCAATCTCAATCTAATCTTTCATAAGTACAAATATATCATACAAAAGTTTCATATCTCTTGCTTCTAAGAGAGCGCAAGAAAATAGATTGAAATGGTTTCCCCATGGGTTCTCTTAAAAAGACTTTTTAGAAAAATGTCAAGCATGACAAGCCATGTAATATTTTGGTATGTAGAACTATATATCAACATCTTGCCATTCAGGTCTGTTTTTAGGGAATCAGCCAAGCATTAAAAAAAAAAAAAAGGCTGCTACATAAAAGAATTCAGTCTCTGTGGTGCCATTAGATGCATCTGTGCTTCTTATTCATTGGATTACATTTTTAGTGTATATTTGAGTATTTGTAAAAGAGGGCACTTTATTGAGGTTTTTTTCCCCAAGACATAATGGCTTTGAGCTTCAAACCTGATCTAGAGATAATGACTGTTATTATTTCACTAAATGTTTTCCAAGCCCAAGCCTTTTCCAGGTAGGCTTGCAATATAATAAAGACAACAGAACAAAATATATAAACATTCAAAACCAAAGGGATGTGACACCAGAATTAAAACTAATTTTCTAGGCCTGCCTCTATCTAGTCCCTGAACCCATAATCAGTGTGGCTACATTTAATCTGGGAATAAGTAACATAGTTCTCTTAAAAGGCACATTCTCTCAGAGGGAATTTATCAGGCATGATTGGGGCGGGGGATAAGAGGACAGTATCATCAAGGGTACCATAATGTTGTTATTCAAATGATGCAAAATAGATTGTCATCATAGTATCCTTATGCATTTAAGTCATTGTAGCTTATACCACATGCCTATGTTGTTCTGATCTACAAACAGCAGTGGGGCTTTTGGGAGAAACTATTGTGGGTGGGGTGGAAGCTGCCCTCCAAACATGTGCAAACATACTGTATCTTAAGATCATCATCTTCCTATAATTGTGGCTTAAGAATCTCAACTAGAAATTGTTTAGAGTAATAATAATCTTAGAAAGAACTTCAGTCTTTTTCAGACAGTCCATTCACCCTCTCCTTTTCTCAGTCTCATATACAGAGAAAGAGAGATTGGATGGATCCATGCATAGATAGATGGATCCATGCATTTCCCTGTGTGAACAGGGAGCTGCTTCTCACTCGTATAGGAAATACTATTAAGTATGGATGTTTCCAGATCTGTATCTTCAAATTGTTTTTTCTCCCCCAATTTTACAATCATCATTCAAAAGGCCATGTCACTAAACAATGGCCATGTCTTAAATCCCAACAACAGAACTTGATTTGTAGCTGATACTTTTGGTGATCTTGCCCATAATCTTAAATCATGCTATTGATATCTACTTTGTTTCATTATAAATTGATGTCTTTGATCCAATCTGGAAGTTTTCTAAGATGACATTCATCCTTCCCTTCTGTCTCACAAATCCTTTTCATTAACAAATAGTCCATTTAGAATAGAGATTCTAAGTTGTTACTCAAATTCTATGAAGCGTATTTCTTTTAATCTAGTACAGTATATTCAGAATAACAATGCATCCATAGCCTTGCTTTTTAATGCCAGACCTCAATTTTAGAAGATGATGATAATAATGATAATAACGATAATGATAACTGGATAATGAATGTGACAGTACCTGGAGACAGCAGAACAGAAGAAAAGGAACTGGAGAAGATAACAAAATACGAAGTTCTGCAAATAGAAATAGAATGGTTGTGGCAAAAGAAAGCAAAGGTAGAACCAATAGTAATAAACAGCTTGGGTGCAATCCCAAAACACCTGGAGCACCACTTGAACACCGTCGGCATTGAAAAATTCACCATAAATTTCAAAAGCCAGCTTTACTTGGAACATCTTGCATTCTGCAATGATATTTGTAACTTCATCAAACACCCAACTCTGCCTGTTCCAAGTCCTTGGGAAGGACTCAATAGCTGAACAAAAATGACAAATCCAGTCTGAACATCTGGTTGACTGTGAGATGAACCATAATGATAACAATGATATACTTTGAAGCATAATAAAAATGTCTACATTACTGTATGATAAAATAAATAGAACTGATTAGATTTTACTGGATAAGGGCACAGCATCCAAGTCAGAAACAAACAAGAGCCCGATTTTTAAATCTGAAATTAAATTGGCAAAATGCAGGGACAAAGAGGATTTGGAGAGATAAGAATATGAGGTAGAAAAACACTCCCTTCAGGTAAGAAGAAACATGAAGTAGAGAACTAATAGTGTACTGTATGTGATGGTCTCCCTGCCTGCTGTTTATTCTATATTTTTAGCTGATTTATAAATGAACAGGATTACAGCAAAGGGTCTCGGAAATAAGAATAAAATAAAAGATAATCAGATAGGTTGAAGTAGAAGTCGCAGTGCACCTTCCAGCTAATGCTAGAACTCTTAAGTTCCTCCCTACACAGACTTACCAAGTATTTTCTAGGGTTGAATTAAATAACTATAAAGGTTCTAGAATACCCAGGTGATTCCAAAAGGTTAACAGGAGAAAGTTCATGTTCTTAGCAGGTTCGTCCTCCTTCAAATCATCTGGTCTTTTTGCTGACAGTGTTTCCTCCAGGGAGGAACTGGCTTGATTTGCAAAGAAATTAGATTGAAAACCATTCCATACTCCTGGGACCCCTGCTGGCAAGCAAGAAACAAATACATTTTGGAAGTGAAGGAGGCTGGTGAGAGAAAAATGTGAATCTGATTCCTTAAAACGTTTTAAGCTGAGAAATAGTTATAATGCATTTTATAGTTAAAGTCAAGTTTTGAAAAACTATTTTAATTCAGAATGGGATATTTTCATATCTTTTTAAAATTGATTTTAATTGATAATAAAAAATAAAAGGAAAAACACAATAATAGCGATGCTGATATATACATTGCCAAAGAGAACAAAAAAGAACACATAAAAGTGCTATAAAAAGTGAAAAAAACACAACAAAAAATAAACATAATATGACATGATATAATTATAATTAAGATGTATTTTATAGTTAAAGCCAAGGGATTTTTGAAAAATTAATTCAATTCTGAGTGAAATATTTTCATATCTTTAATGGCCAGTTGTTGTGATACTAGTACTGATAATCCTTGTTCTACCCCTCCACAAACAGTACGTGAGACTTGATCCATTGTTCATACATTGTGGTAAGTCATAGTTTCCTTAACTGTGGTAAAGGAATAAACAATAATTGAGTGGAGAAGCAATAAATTCATTTTCCTTAAGAAGTCTGAAGGAGATTGAGGAATGGATTTATCACATTTAACCGGAAAACAATTTCATCTGGATTTTTTTTCAGAAGCTAGACAGACTTTGGAGATTGGTCCTATGATGGTATTTAATCAGACAACAATAGATAAGAAATGGTTGTAAGAAACAAACATGGACATTTGATCCAGGACAAATCACTGTTATCTTTTGGGATGACTTGGCCATGATAAATTTTCTATTGAGTTGATTTCAATAACATTTTGTTATCAGAGGGTTTTGAAACTTTAATGTTATCTTTTTTATTATTGTTGTTCTTCTTGTTAACTACTTGGTCATTAAAATAATATATAGATGACAGGCTAATAACTTGCAAATAGATTTAGAAGTTTAAAAATGGGAGGGGCTGTTTTGCATGAGTGGAAAACTAATATTGTAGTATATTAATCAGTCAACTTACTGATTAATATACTACAACATTAGTTTCCCACTCATGCGAAACAGCCACCCCATTTTTAAATTTCTAAATCTATTTGCCAGTTATAATAATATAAATAATATGTGTATTATGCACTTTTTAATGCACTTTTTAAATTTCTTATTTTGTCTTTTTTCTGTGGGGTTTTTTTTTTTGAAAGACAACAAAATTTTGAAGTTTTGAATTTGTATTTTGTATTTTAACTGTTTTTTGGGTAAAACAAAAACAGAATAACAAAAAGGAAAACCCAATAATTGACAAGAATCACTCCAGCATAGCAGAGGATATACCTATTATTCAGTTAGCAATACTATATTTGGGCCAATTTTCTGTTGGCAACATTCAGAGCAATTTGCATTCAGAAGATGGGTATGAATAAGTGATAGTGGGAAGCATAAAAAGGGCTCAACATTTAATTTTCATAGTAATTTATTTATTATTTATTAATTCAGTTTAATGTAGCAACCCATCTTACACATGTGAATTTGGGTGGCTTACAATAATTCAGATAACACAATAAGCAAAATATAAAAAACCTAACCAAAATGTATAAAACTGTATTAAAAACCATAGAACATAACAGTGGTCTACAAGGAAAAAGCCTCAGAAATGAAAGTAGCTAAATTTTACCAGAACTGGGTCACTAATAAAAGAAAATTAAGTCCTGAGTATTAATTGGCTCCAGTTTCCAAGATACAGCTTCAGGTCAAAACTGCATCAAAATAATTCAAAGTTATGAGGGGTGTGTGCAATTATGCTCCCTAACTTTTCTGCTAAATATGATATAGCAATGAGAATGGTTTCACACCAATTATTATAAATTTATTTTTTTATTGATACCAATAACATAACTTTCCATTCGTTTATTGGTTTTTCATGTAACATTTTCATGCTTTTTCACTCTGCAAGAAGTTCCACTGTTTTAATCTGGAACCCAGTAATAATAATAATAATTAATAATAATAATAATAATAATAATAATAATAATAATAATAATAATAATAATAAAGTTGGAAGGGACCTTGGAGGTCATCAAGCCCAACCTCCTGCTCAGGCAGGTAACCCTATACCATTTTGGACAAATGGCTGTCCATTCTCTTCTTAAAAACTTCCAGTGTTGGAGCATTCACCGCTTCTGGAGGCAGGTTGTTCCACTGGTTAATTGTTCTAACTGTCAGGAAGTTTCTCCTTAGTTCTAGGTTGCTTCTCTCCTTGATTAGTTTCCATCAGTTGCTTCTTGTCCTGCCTTCAAGCGCCTTGGAAAATAGCTTCACTCCCTCTTCTTTGTGCAATTCCAAATCCCTAACCAGGTCATTTAGTTCACTCTGTGAAATTAGATGTTGTTCAGGAGGAGCATACAGTGGGCTAGTTTGGGTCTTCTGACATTGATGGTCCCAGATCAGCTGCATCCTGCTCATCATCTTTATCATCATCTGAGTCTAGAAAGTAGGATTCTGGTGGATCTAGAATTGACAAGTCCTCACCATGGGGTACAGGATGTAGTGCGGATGGAATGTTTGGACATTCCATGGTCCACTTCCTCTTTCTTGAGATCCCTTTTGCATTTGGGGGAACCATGCAAAAACAGCAATCATTACTATGATTGGTGGTTTCCCTTCACCCTATTGGGACCACGAAAGGCATGGATTTTTTCTTCTTGTTTAGCCAATGGTGCAGATAAGTTGCACATGTAATGCAACAATAATGAGCGGCCCAAATCTTGTCCTGATTCCCTATTTTGCATCCAAAATATACGTGGTATGCCTTTTTTATCACAGGACATCATACTGCATTTTTGAGATGCACATGTAACCTTGCCACAAGTGTAGCAGAAGTTATCTGCATTGTTTACACAGTTTCGAGGCATCTTGGCTTCTGAGGAAAAATATCATGTAATTGTTCCTTGGAAATATTAGGCAATTACACTTTCACTTTTAGATGATACGTAAATCTGACCAAGACAAATGTGCCTTGCAATAAAAGAACAATAAATTACAGTTAGGCAGCCAAGAAATTAAAAGACACTCCTGGGGAGGAAAGCTATGGCAAATCTAGACAGCATACTAAAAAGCAGAGACATCACCCTGCCAACAAAAGTGCATATAGTCAAGGCCATGGTTTTCCCAGTTGCAATGTATGGATGTGAAAACTGGACCATAAGAAAGGCTGAGCGACAAAGAATTGAAGCCTTTGAACTATGGTGCTGGAGAAGATTCCTGCAAGTCCCTTGGACTGCAAGGCGATCAAACCGGTCAGTCCTAGAGGAGATCAACCCTGACTGCTCTTTAGAAGGCCAGATCCTGAAGTTGAAATTCAAATACTTTGGCCACCTAATGAGAAGGAAGGACTCACTGGAGAAGAGCCTAATGCTGGGAAAGATTGAGGGCAATAGTTGAGGGCAAGAGGACGACAGAGAATGAGGTGGCTGGATGGAGTCACTGAAGCAGTAGATGTGAGCTTAAATGGACTCCAGAAGATGGTAGAGGACAGGAAGACCTGGAGGAACGTTGTCCATGGGGTCGCGATGGGTCAGACATGACTTCGCAATTAACAACAATAACAAATAATCTTTAGTCTCAAAATGAAAATAAATCTATACACTTCCATGTGGTACCATTTTCCTTGTTCTACTGTAATTTGTTAAGAAGTTACGAGGCATCATGATCATTAGACACCTCCCTCCCTTGTAGGCAAATTTACTCGCCTGTATCATTACACTTTATCACCTGTTTTCTAATTCATCTAATCAAAATATGTAAGAATTAATACATTTTATCTCAGAGTTCAATAATTTCCCAAAATTTGTAGACCAGTGCAAACTGGTGCAGACTTACTCTACAATCCATCTATAAACATATATATAGATAGTCCTCAACTTGTAACCACAGTTGGGACCAGAATTTCCATTGCTAAGCAAGGTGGTTGAGTTGCCCCTGATTTTATGATCCTTTTTGCCATGGTTGTTAGTGTCAATCACTGCAGTTGTTACATGATTCACACAGTCATTAAGCAAATCCACTTTCCCCATTGACTTTGCTGGGAAAGTCACAAATGAAAATCACATCACTCTGGGGCACTTCAGCCCTTGGTGAATATGTGCTGATGGCCGAGCACCAGAATTTTGATCACAGTGTGGGGGGGAGGAATCTGCAACAGTTGTAAGTGTGAGTACTAGTTTAAGTCAACTTTTCAGTGTTGTTGTAACTTCAAACAGTAACTAAACAAATGGTTATAATCAATGACTACTGAACGACCACTAAAGAGGCCCTATAGTTCTTACTACCAATTCATTCTTTTCTCTTAAGCCCAATCTTCTCTCTAATTTAGCCTTCAAAATAAAAATAAAAAAAATCAGAGAAATATAGCATGATCATTTTGTGGTGAGGATCAGATGCTTAAACAGGTTAAGTAACCCACCAAACTCTGCAATCCTAACTCATTTTGTTTCTGAGCAACTGTTTGACCTCTGTTCCACACCATTTCTCCCTCCCTATATAAATGCTTAAAGTTCCTCCCATTCTCATGTATTCTGCCCAGCAAAAAGTCCATCTAAGTATTTTACACATCTAGCATCAAAGACTTATCTGTATTTAAAATTATAATGTGAGACTCAGAGGAAACAAGCTAGAGAAATAATTTGAGCCAGGAAAATTAAATGGAGGAAGACTTCTAGCCAATTGGCTAGAATTAAAGATTTCTAGACAATCATCCTCTGTAACTGGTGGCCCTTAGCCTTACAGTCACCAGTTTGAGGATGTAAATGTTTGCAAAAATGCCTATGTTGTTCATCTGAAGTTCCAATCTAGAAATATCCATTTATTATGGGCAAAATTATTCTTATGTTTAGAAGGCATCTTACAGTCTTTGTGGATCAAAACAATATTTTTTCGCTCCAAATATTATTTTCCTCAAAAAATGGCTGAATTTTCCCCCTACCAAATAATTTTACATTGTATCCAACTATAATGCTTAAGGGAATAAAACCGAATAAATAATGGAACTGAAGCATTTCTTCAAGCAGCAGCTTAATTGGATCAGACGATTAATGCCCTTTTTACTTGAGTGACTTAAAAGCAAAACTAGATTGCCAAATGTTATAATCCCCACTCTTATAGCAAGATATAGTGGCTGTCAAAACATTGTTGAAATGGCCGTTTATTTTGCCTGTAAAATACATAAAGATGCTTGCATTTATGGAATTGTGGGTTGCAAATGATGCACATGGATTTAAAGAGCTTTAAACTGGAGATGCGAGTTGGCTTGGACTATGGAAGAAATGTCTTTCAGCAGATGCTGTTCACCAAAGATCGGCAGAAGAAAATAATACAGGAGACCACAGTTAAGATCAGGAACTGGACTCTGAGTTGACTGCATTTCTCCCTGGTAGGACAGTATCTCCTAGAGTCCCGTCCCTACAGCCATCTTAAGTTTAGACAGATGGCAGCTCTAATGCCACTAAAAATTTTGCTCTGCTCATGCTCAGAGGTTTTTGGCCACGATTTTGGCTGGCTCAGCCCTTGGATGGAAGGAAGAACCCTAGCCATTTTTCATTGCCCCCTCTACCCCACCCCAGAAACAGCCCCTTCGGGGAATCACCCGCTGCGCTTCCAACTCAGAGCCAAGCTTTGCGCGTTCTGCAGAGTAGGGTAGGGAGGAAAGAGAAGCCGGGCACTGATTCGGATTTCTTCCACTTCTCCGTTCTCGTTCTTACACGGGGCTTGAGCCATTGTGTAGTTCGGTCGCATGACTCACCGCTGCTCCACGGATCTCGCTCTTCGCCGCCTCCCGTCTCCGCTACGGGATCCCTTCAGCAGTAGCAGCAGCGGCAGGCGCCCAGAGCCACGGGGATCGGGCGGAAAGATTAGACCCATTGCCGGTCTACCACCAACGTCCGCTGGAGGCCGCCGGCAGCTGTGGATGCACTTTGCCGGGGGGACGAACGATCACGGCGAGGAGCCCCCACAGCGCCCAGAAGAGGCAAGAAGAGGCGTCCTGGATGGGTGGTGGTGACAGCGGCCGTTAGGGGGCGGCGTGGAGCGCGGTCAGCTACTCGCCAGGCTCGCTCGGAGCTTTCGGCCACAACCTGAGACTCGTTCAGCGCCTGCCTCCCAATTTCTCGCCTGCCCAAGACCGGCCACTCGCTACAACCGCCGCCGCCGCAGCTGGGCAAGACCGCAAAGGTGAAGTTTCTCAGAGAGCTACTCCAAGCGCGCCGCGACAGGGGCTGAAAGAGGGGAAGTAGGATTCGGGCAGAGGCGGGAGACGAGGCTTTCTCCTCGCTCGCTCGCTCGACCAGCCCGCCCGCTGTCTCACGGTGCTGTCGTGGGGCTCAAATCCGCGCGATTCGAGTAGGAAGCCCCGAGCTTCGCCAGGTGCCGCCTGAAGGGAACTCCCATCCACGAGAGGGGGACAGGCGTCCCCCTCAGGAATTCCGGGCAGAGAATCACTGAAGAAAAGCAACCGAAGCAGCACTTACTCCTTCAACTGCGAGTACCCCGTCGGCTATATCCTGGACATTGCCGCGGTCGAGCACCTGAGTGCAGATTGGTTACTGCAACCCAGTTCCGGTTACCGATAAGGCGCACGAACCTGGCTGAGTTTGATCCCAGGGCTAGAAAGCTTCATTCAAGAGGGCACCGCCAAGGCATCTACCTACTTCTCCACTCTCACATCTGCAGAACAAAGCCTGGCTTCCTGCTGGTGTTGCCTGCAGACTTGGTGCTTATAAGACTGTGCTAGATAGCCTGTGCCATTCCACAAGGAAGCCACCCTTCGCAAGACAATTAACCAGCGACCACCCAAAACGTGCAATAAGCTGACCTTATCCTATCTCTTGTGCCAGTCCACGGGCAGCATAAGAGAGTAGTGGCCAAACCAGTTGGGTCCCTTCCTTGTGTTTCAGTGTTAGTTCTGTGCCTCCAGCATCATCCTCTCCTAAGACAATGTTTTAAATAATCAGATAAAGATTGTACAATCATCTGGATTTTATTTGTGCTATCTGGCAGTTACCCAAGGCAGTGACACAGAAAGGACCTCTCCAGAATCAGCTCCACTGATCTCCAACAACTGCCCATGCCAAGTGGAAGAGGCCACCAACGACTATTTTCTCT